AAAGATACCTTTTATTCTCCTAATGTTCCATAATTTTCATTTTTTTTTGTCCTTATTAACTTCTGCTGCTGCCATCACCCGTAGCCTCAGAACTCCAATTCTTTCTGTAATTCAGGATGGTGTGTAAGCTTTAATCTGATTCTACTGTAAGCTTGTCTTGTAGGATGCGTATGCAAACACATGTGTTGTTTTCCTATTAATCCATACTACGTTAGAGAACTTTGGAGAGCGCACTGTATTGTAAAGTTAATGTTTACCACAGTTGATACTACGTCACCACATTACAAGTGCTCGATGGCCATACATTGCTGATAGTTGTGGTAGTAGACCGTGGAGCCTTCAACCTGAATGGACGATGCCTCATGAGGGTATAGGATTAGGCCAGTGTTGGTTTATCTCACTGCTATTCTTTTCTTCTCTTCGGGTTCTGGTCTTCAAAACGATGGCCGTGAATTTCCAAAGCCTTAATTTAGGTTCTACACCATTACCTCTGTAGCAGACAGTTCTGTCCTAAGGCTAGTGGAAACCACGAATAGCATGTGGAGGTGGACTGACTTCAAAAGAATATTTAATTATTCCACCCACCCCCCATTTAAATTAGAAAGGAAGGGAGGGAAAGGGAGGATGGGGTAAAAGACACACATTTATTTATTTATTTATTTATTTATTTATTTATTTGACCGTTTTTTGGCTTAGAGCATGGTGTCACTGCACTGTAAATACTCATTGACAAAGAGGAAAGAAAGGATGTGACAGAGCTTCCCTAGACACCTCAACAGGGATCTGTGCCAGCCTGCTAATGACTACTTGTCCTGGCCTCCCCAAGGTAGAAGTTTGTGTTTGGCTGTGTTTTGGGAATAAAACCTTTGTCTTTTTGGAAGGATTTTTTTTTCCTTTCTTCTAAAAACCAGGCTCACTATGTAGCTTGGAACTACTTTTGCAGTTAATGTCTCCCATGTGCTGGGGTGGTAGGCATGAACCACCCACCATGCTGGGCTGAAGGATTTAAGACATACAGTGGGTGCTGGAGAGATGGCTCAATGGTTAAGAGTGCTCCCTGCTCTTCAGAGGGCCCAAGCCAGGTAGCTCACAGCTTCCATGGGGGAGTGGCAGTCTGCCTTCTGAACCTAATTTACATCCGTCAGCAAGTGGTGAAGTACTTTCTTCTGCATTACTTATGCTTGCCACAGGAAACAGTCTTTGTTTTGCTAGCAGCCCTTAGTCTGGTTAAGAAAATATATTTCCATATGTACACACACACACAGTGTGTGTGTGTATGTGTGTTCAATGGCAATTAATAAAAATAGTCAGCCATGGATCTGAAGGAGGCAGGGTGGGGTAATAAGAGGAGTGGAGGGACAAAAGGGAAGGAAATTCATCAAGTAAATTATAATATCAAAACAAATGAAAAGAAAAAGAAAAAATATATTTTCTTTATTAGTGTACCCTTGATATTATTTCTAGGTAAACAAAACGAATAAAAAAAAATCTGGTATTCTTATGCCAAAGAACAGTTTGCCTGTTTTCTGGTTTTATTTTGAAATTCTCAAATGCAAGCGCTGAGCAGTAGGCACAGGTGGCCTCATGACTGTAATTGTCCCTGCAGTACTGAAAGGCCTTCAATAGTATCTCACCATATCCTAGCCCAAGGAAAACTTAAGTGACCCTTTTAACCTCAAAACTGACCACAGTCATTCTCCTCCACCCAACTTCAGCCTTTTCCACTTCCTACACGCTTTTGAAGATCTTGCCTTTTATTTGTATCAGGAACATTCTGCAAGCTATCCTAGAAGCCTGAAATGTTCTGGTCTGTATTTTGTTTCACATGGCTAATTCTTGTTACTACTCACTTTTCCTAATCATCTAAAAAAAAAAAAAAAAGTCCTTAAAGAAGCCATGCTTGAGCCTTCCTGTCTGCATGGCTGTAATGCAGATTTCTCTCTTGTGCTTCACAAAGCCTGATGGCTAAATGTTTGCAGGGTCAAAGGGTCTCATTTAGCCAGGTTTAATTTGAAAAAGCAGCATAGAGAAGGGATATTAACACAACAGTAAATAAAGCAACACAGTACTGGTGTAGACATAGACAAACAGGCCCACTGAAACGGAGGTCATAACCTGATTATGTATAAGGGGGAATATAGTGTATGGTAATAATATCTCACATTATGGAAACGATAGGCTTCTGAGGGGCAGGGTGGAGAAAAACTAATTCAGCAGCTAGAGATGAAAGGGAAGCATATTGCTCTGAAACCACTACGGAGAGTGATAAGAATATATTCATCGAAGGAGAGAGAGCTGGAAGAACAAGAAGTTTAAGCACACCAGGGAGACCGCTCCGGGGGGTAGGGCAATGGAAAGACTTCCCAATGCAAGACAAGAAAAGCACAAAGAGATACAAGTCTGTAGAAAATGTATAATGTATCATTATCACGGCCAGCTGAAACAGTTTCTCTTTTAATGCTTCTTTCCTACTCAAAGTGGAGCAAATAGCCTTTAACTTTTTTTTTTAATTGTTTCAGCTATTATGCTAAGTCAAGAATCATAAAAGGGAATTAATTTAAACCAGCATACCTGAAGATGAGAAAGATTAGAAAACTAAAAGAAAAAAATGTAACTTCTACATTTAGAAACCAAAAGACTAGTAAAGCCATTGTCTAGGCTGTCGGGAGGGCATGGAGTGTGAACAACAGGATGTTATTCTGTGCAAAAGGAGAAAGACTAATGGTTACAGGGTCTGGAAAGACCAATATATGTTGGAAACTGTGAAGTAACAGCATGCCAAATATTTAAATGAAACCACTACTGAGAGTGATGAGATTATATTCATCAACCATGATATATAGGACACTGGTTTGAACGCTCTGTTTTGGTACATTGTAATTTCTTGGAGAAAAGTTGAATCTTTTCTAAATGAATAGAACTTAAAATGTAACAAAACTGTTTTTTTTTTTCTTTTTAAGCTAGGCTGGAAATCATTAGTTAGCCTTCTCCGGTCAGTACTGATGACTGAAGTTGTCAAATTTCTATCTTTGAAGAAAAGTCTAAAGAAAATGAAGTAACGAGGTGGTACAGGTTGGATACCAACGGCTAAGGAAGAAGGCTTGGGGGCAGCAGGAGGAACTGCAGACTGGTAACAAGAAGCACTGTACTGTGGAAGGAGGGAGGAACAGCTACCATTCAGTGGTGAGAGAACAGTTCCTGGAAGGCTTCACTTTGTCTTTCAAAATACAGCTAACCCTTACTGCTTACAGATTCTAGATTCATGAGTTTGCTCATTCTTTAGAACATCTGTAACCTCCAAACGCAATCCTTGTGGTGGCTTTACAGTCCACTGTGGCCATACGCCGAGTGGTTAAAAATTCAAGTCCAATGCTGTTTATGTTCTCACCTGAAGTTGAAAAAAAAGAATGTTCATTCTTTTTATTTTTTTCATCAGTTCTCACAATGGAAACAAGTACCTGTTTTGTGGTCCACTTGGTGTCATGTTTTATTTTCTTCATTTGTGGGATTTTCTTTTTTCTTGGTGATTTTACTGTTTAAAATGTTCCTGCTCTCCATATGCAACAGTGAAGTGCTTTCTATGGTCCCAACATATAAGAAGGCCATGGTGTATTTTTACAGAGAAAAATACATGAATTATGGCTTCGTTCAAACATGTTACAGTGCCAGTGAACACGAGTTCAATTTTGATTCATCAACAATATTGGGTATGGTGCCTTTAAACAGAAACACATGATTCTCAGTAGTATCCTATTTGTACATTCTATACGTAACCAAAAGTTTACCATTTTAATAATTGCATGTGTACAACTTTGTGGCATTAGAGACATGTAGTCAAACAGTTCAGCCACCAACGACATCCATCTCAGAACTCTTAACATTCCAAACTGAAACTTTATCACTGAGACATAATTCCCAAGATTCCTCTCTCGGCCTCCAGTTCTCTTTGACTCCTGGCAACCACTATTCTTCTTTCTGTCACTCCTGGGACTCTTAGCAACCTCTATAAATGGAATTCTAAATATTTGTCTTTTCATATCTGCCGTATTTCAGTTAGCTAAATCACCTTAATCAATACCTCAATTCTTCATTAGCTTGAATCTAATTAACATCTGACTCATGATACTGTATTTTAGAGCAAATGTCTAGCTTTGTATTTTTATAACCTTTTTAGTTAATGCTTGTTAAAGGACACCCCACTCCAGCATATTGTAAATTCTGTTTCATCAAGAATTTTTGGTTCACCGACTGTGCCTTTAGACGTGTGAGCTACTTTTCATTCCACGAGTAGTCCACTGCCTACTAGTCTCTGGTAGTCTCCTAATAATATACAATAGAATCCAACTTGCTGGACCACCCATGATATATAGGATCAGTGGTTCGAATGCTCTGCCTTGGTACGTTGTAATTTTTTGGAGAAAAGTTGAATCTTTTCTAAATGAACAGAATTTAAAATGTAACAAAACTGTTTTATTTTTTGTTTGTTTTTTGAAGCTAGGTTGGACATCATTAAGGTTACCCACTCTGGTTTCCAGGGATCCATAAAAGGATAAACAGGTCAGTAGACCTTTGCCAAAAAGTCATGTACTTTGGGATAAGGACAGTAATCCTCTGGAGGTCTCAGTGGGTTAGATTAGACCAGGCTAGATTAGACCAGCCTGTGTTTATCCACCGAGTGGTCCTGAGACATGTAAGGCAGGTTGTACAGTGCAGGCCATCAGCAAAAACCGCTGGCCGGCTTCTCAAGGAGCTCTTCCATCTTGTAGGTTCCCTCGTGCTGAAAGGCACAGTCCTCTTAGAGCACAAGGTCTGGGAGTCAGCGGCCATTCCACCCTTGTGAAATAAGACGGCGCTCCACTACGAAGGCCGATGGATAAAAACGGAGTGAGGCCTCAACCCTTGCAAGTACAAAACACACTACCGGATTTGCCCTGCGTACACTCGGAGAGACTTGCGTTTTTTTCCCAGCATGCTCTGGGACGCACCGCGAGACTTCAATTAATTCTCGCGAGATTTATCGGCAGCCATCTTCTTGGGGGTGCTGGAAGCCGGGAAGACCCCCGAGCCGTTCCCATTGAGCTGCCCTTCGTTTTCGCTTTCTTCACGTCTGCTCTGCCGCGTTGCCAACAAGCACCTAATCCCAAAGCTGAGAGAAAAACCCGGGTCTGAGCGCGTTCGGCACTCCTTTGGGAAGATTCACTGGGGAGCGGGGCAGGGGGGAGGGCCCGGCAAACGGTTGCTGCCTCAGCCTGGGCCGGGGTCCTCAGAGGGGAAGCTCCCGGTACCCGGTGGGCGCGTGGCCTGCGGCGGCCCGGCCGAGCTGCTCGCCGACCGCGGCTCGCGGGAACCTGCCACCGGCACCTCCCACCGCGGCCCACGCGGACGGCGCGCGGAGGAGGGGGCGGCGGCGGCGGCGACCTGGGCGAGCGCAGGAGTGTGACCGGCCTCGGGGCCGCGGTGGATGGTTTCTAAGATGATCATTGAAAACTTCGAGGCACTCAAGTCCTGGCTCAGCAAGACCCTCGAGCCCATGTGAGTATCCCGGGGAGCTGTTCCCGCAGGGATGGCGGTGCGGGAGATGCGGACGCACGGATCCGTGCAGTTTACTCGGAATGCCTGTGGTGGAGGCCGAAGCCGAGAACAGGGGTCCCAAGGCTCTGTTTTCCCTCGTCTCCCACCGTCGCCTCTAGGTTGAAGGTAGCCAACGCTGGAACTCTGCTTGATTGGAAGCGTTGAGCTGATCTTTGAACCGGCGTGTCTTGCTTTTTTCCCCGTTACATAGACCGATAGATACTAAACTTCCCCATACACCTGTGTTGTCTGAGGCCCTCCACATCGGATTCTTGGCTCTCCACCATTGCCAGCGTATCTTCCTGGCCATGGATTGTTATTATTATTATTATTATTATTATTATTTTTAACAGTGGTTCTTTAAACGAAGTGAATGGCTTTTTATTAGGGGTCAGGGAAGTTCGAGTTTAAACCTAAGGTTTCACTTACAGTCCCTTAAAGAAAGGCCACGTCTTGCATGTGGTGTCTGGCTCATATGCACCTCTCTTAACTGATTGAGGATGTAACAGGTGCTAACCCCAGTAAACCCCAACCCCCCTTTCTACTTACACCCTACTAATTTGAAAAAGGGGAAAAAAAACCCACCCAAATCTCTATCCATATGGAACATTTAGCAGTTTAAGGAAGAAATCAGTAGTTTGTGCGACTGCTGAAATGTTGAAAAATTTTGGTAGTATTTTATGGATTTATTTAATGCATAGATAAATGTCCTTTATCTTGCATCGTTGACTTACAATAGCAACTTAAAATGCAGTGGCAGATAATTCACTTATTTAAAGCACGCATTAAGTTTTTACCGTGTGCTGTGGGAAGCTTTGGGACAGGACTTTAAAATTCTCAGGTTAATAAGCTGCAATAAGGTTTTCATCTCTGCTCAGTTAGGACCATTATGATAGTAGAGGACTATGTAAACGTGGTCTGGATGGGGGCCGCTGCCTCAGTGCTGTTGGTCAGTGAAGCTGTCTGAAAAGTAGTAGTTAATAAAACTTAAAGAGGAGAGAAGGACCCTCTCTGTGTCTGAGGAAAGATGTGTTTTCAGAATGAAGAGTAGATGAAAGAAAGGCCTAGTAGAGGACATGATCAATGTGGTTTGTTTAGAAAGAAAGAAAGAAAGAGAAAGAAAGGAAAGGGAAGAGAGAGGAAAGACATGGAATTAGTAGACAGGGCCATAGGGGAGCTTTTAGGTTGAGGTCAGGAATTAAGAGCTTATTTAACACACACTAGAAAAATAGGTTATTTAAAGCAGGCCAGGACTAATATGACTTCAAGTAAGGGTGTTTTGTGAGACTTAGGTTGGTAAGAGTTAGATGAAGGGAAGCTCCTTTGAAGGTATTGTAGGCTGAGACTGTGATAGTGTATTAGATGATGGTGGAGATGGAACCACGTGTACTTCACAAGAAGAGAAAGAACTTCCTGATAGAGTAATGTGGAAGAAAGAGAAAGAAAATCAAGTATGAAGCCTCAGTTTTAACAGTTGGATGGATGATGCAGAAGACTGAGGGCAGTCCAGGTGGGGAAGGGAATGGCTATTGACAAGTTATGATGATGAAGTATGAGGTACTAGTTATTCATCTTAAGTAAAGTTGGATGCTGGAATCGAGGACTTGGGTCAGGACTAGAGAGATAGAACGTTATGCTAATAGGATTTGAAGCCTTGAAATTATGGGAGATTTCCTCGGAACAATGTGTAGATAAGGAGTAGACAGGATTGAGATAGGAAGTATGGCAAAAACAGGGGCTTATGAACCTGATGGGATTCTACAGACTGATGCATGCAATAAGTTGAAAGCTCTTAGATTTGGCAAAGTGGAGTGGAGTAGAGAGTTTTCAGAGATCTGGAGGGTATAGCCTAGTGGTGCCATATGCGGCATGCAAGGCCCAGGTGAAATCTTCAGTACCTTTCGCTTCTAAGTAAACAAAAAAGACATTTTCTTTCCTTGGATCCGAAAGTCAGTGGTAACATATGTAACAGGTGAGAGGGAGAACCCCCAGGGCCTAGTGACTAGCCTTGAATTGGGCTACAACAACTCATCTACAAGTTATATAATATCGAAAAGTCACAACTCAATGCTTTTGTTTCAATCTGTAAAGTGGGGAAAATAATGAACATATATTCCTAGAATGTATATATTCATTATTCCAGTGTGTAATTAGCATGTTTCAAATCAACTGTACTGCCATTTCATGTTCTTTCAATAACCTAAAGCATATACTTAGTGTATATACTTTTAGTTTTTCTTTAATTCAAACAAAGCACATTTATTGTAGCAAGTACTCAGATGTCTGTTACTTTCTGTGATTACAATAAACAGTTATTGCTAGTAGAGTCTACACAGTGGTCCTTTCTAATGTACATTATTGTAAAATGTAGCTCCTATTCTTGTTCTTTAATTTGCATGTGTTCTTTATTATTTTTCTAGGTGATGACTTACAAAAGCTTAATTATTTACCATCTTTGGTTTCTAATGTTTTTTTTTCTTACATAAAGATTTTTTTGCATAGTTTTGACATGTAATTAATAAAATACATACTGTTTGAGGAAGGACTGTAAGAAGGAACTTTATAGCAATTCATAATGGTGAAGTATCACATGATTTTATTTTTATTTATTTTTTTGACTAATCTGAAGTTTGTATTAGCAAACTTTTGAGTACTTATGCTGTGCTAATCAGTGTGGGAAATAGTATTTGGCAAGGGATGAAATAACTTTTCCTTTGTTAGGGAAACACAGATGCTGAACAAGTAATTGTAATGCTGTGTGTGTTAAAGAATTCTAATATGCTTTGGAAATACATTATTTGGAGTTAAGAAAAGCTGCTTTGAAATGGCAACAGTAGATCTCAGATTGGAAGGATGAAGAACAGCTTTCTAGTTTTGGAGAATGTATTTTACGAATGTCCTAGAAATGAGATGGGGGAACATTAGGGAAACTAAAAGAAATTAAAAGAGCGGAGGAAGACTAGCAATGGTTAGGGATGCCAGAGGTACCAGAGATCACACAGGACATTGTTGAGTCAAGTTAATCATTTTGCGTGTTCTTGGAGCTTTTTTTGTCGAAGCTAGCAAAGGGTTTAGGGTAGCCGAGTTTTGAGTGTGATGGAGAGTGAGGTAGGATGGGAAAGATGTTGGTTATATTTTTAGCCCTAAGGACAAATATGTGTATCTGTTTATTCAGTTAGAAGTTTTTAGTTGTAGCAGGATTTTGTTCTTTTTTTCACAAACCATTAAATATTTAGGTATTGAAATTTTCTCTCAATACTTAGAATTGATGTCTTTTGATTTACCTGTTTACTTAGTCAGTCTTTTACTGTTTATGCATTTTTTTTGGCAATGTGAAGTCCTAACCAAAAAACCCAGTATTTTTGTCATGGTGATTCAACCTTAAATTTTGTTTGTTAGCATATAAAGTAATGGGTTTTATTATGGCCTTTCCGTATGTTTATGTCATTATACTTTGTTTTTCTTTACCCCTCTCACTCACTGATGGTGGCCTTGATCTCACTCTTCCCATATTGCTTTCTCCTTTCCTCCTCTCAATAGTCTTCCCTTATGTGTTCATGATGTGTGCTTCATTACTACTCTCTGCTTTCATCATTTCTCCTCCATAAGATCTCTCTCATACGGTCAGTTGGTTTCTCTCATATGTACAGAACACATTTGTACTTAGGTTCTGCCAGTGAGAGAAACCAAACACTTTCTTATTCTGAGTCTGGTCTAGTTCACTAAATACGGTAATCTCCAATTCCATCTATTTCTGTGTATATGTCATGATTTTATACTTTATGACTGAAAAGATTCCTCTCTGTAAATGCACTACATTTTCTTTATTCATCCATCTGTTAGATATATAGCTGGTTCTGTTTCTTAGCTGTTTTTAATAGTGAAGCAATAAATGTACATGTACAAATGTTTCTGTATTATGTTGAGTTAAAATCCTTTTTGTATGTATACCTAAAGGTGGTATAGCTGGGTCATAGCCATTAGGCTTTTGAGGAACTTCACACTGATATTCATAGGGGCTGCACCAGTTTATTTATCTTTGCACAACCACTGTATAAGACTTATTACCTTACATCCCGACCAGCTTTTGTTGTCATTTGCTTTCTTGATCCTTTCCATTCTACTTGGGGTGAGCCAGACCTTGGAAGCCAATAGTCCATATCAAGTACTTTTCTTACTGCTGTACATGTTATATTTTGAGACAAAGTCTCTCACTGGACCTGGAGTTCCTTGATTTGTCTAGGGTAGCCAACCAACGAGCTCTAAGACCTACCTGTCCAAACCCATCCCCCAAGCTCTAACTTAGGTCTTCATACTTTTGAGGCAGGCATTTTATTGTTCGATCCAGCCTCCTGAAAGAATTTAATTTGCATTTCTCTGATAGCTAAGGTTATTTATTGGCCATTTGTATTTCTTTTTTCTTTCTTTTCTTTTTTTTTTTGAGAACTGTTTGTTTATTGACTATTTTGTGGGGGGTTGATTTTTGCAGTCCTTTATAGAGTTTAGTTATTAATCCTTGTCTGAAGAACAGTTGGCAAATTATTTTCCTATTCTCTAGGTTTTCTCCTCACTCTGTTTTTTTTTTTTTCTCCTGTGTCTCTTAATATTAGGTAAACTCATTTGTCAATTCTTGGGATTATTTCTAGTGCTGTTTGAATTCTTTTTAGGAAGTTCTAGCCTGTGCATAAATCTTAGAGTGTTTTACCTGCTTTTCCAAGGTTTCATTTTTTTTTAACAGAAAATTTAATAGACATTTTTTTTTTTTACTATTTAATTTTTTGTGGGCTTACTACCACATATGATTTAATAAAATCACATTTGAAACTTTTAATAAAAGTTTTCTTGATGTGAAGGAACTCCTCAAATTCTCAGGAATTAAAATTGACAGATGAATGCTGAGACTTTGGAGTTTAAATGTAAAGATAAGAAAGCTTTAGTTTTTGCTTCTGCTGCTATGCATT